GTCAAATCCAATGTTTTTTTTTAATTGTTTTATAAATAAAAAGTTAAAAAAAAAAAAATTAGCTTCCCCTCTTGAAAATAGAGAAGCCAGGAGGAGAACAACAAATTAGTTTCTGCATGTATTAGCTGTGTGTATACTGATTTAGTGAAACGATGAGAGAGTCTCTTTAGAATAATAAATTGCATTTTCATTCTTCGGTACCATCAAAGAATCATGAAGCATAACTATTTGTATAAAATATTTGTAAATAGAAAAACACTGTTTTATTTTGTTTTTCTTTCCGAAATCAATAAAAAATAAGACAAATAACAAATGTATTATTGTGAAAATATTGCACCTAGTTACGAGATGGATTTTTCTCTGGAGCAACCAGAATCTTTTATATAAAACAAGATTAGTAATGATAAGCTATGAAGGAATTTTGATATTCTATTGGAAATCCAATATAGATAAGAGCTGGATAAAAATATGTGCCACCATTGCATTAAGCAGTTTTAACTTACATGGATTCTTTCTTTTAACAAAGAAGGCAATATTGTATTAACTCTCTCTCCCATTTAAAATCTGTCAACAGGGAAGAATTGAAAATATGTTGAAAATAAAAATAATTCCACTGTTCCACTGTTAACATTCATATCTAGGGTACTGTACATTTGCTATTACACGGTTTAGCGTGTGAAAGTACAATGTAAAATAAAATCTAAACCATAAACTCTGAAAGGAACTATAGGAGGAGCACAGAACAAAAAGAATGGTCATGTAAATGCCCAATACATTCTGCTGCATTATTGTATATCACGGGTGTCAAACTCGCCACGTCATGTGAAGTGTCGCGATTGCCAGAGTTGGAGTGGGTACGGCCTCTGCATGATGCAACCGGCCCACGGGCCGACAGTTTGACACCCCTGCTATATATGATCTCAATTACATGTCTTAAAACAAACGGAAAACATGCTGCATAATAGTCCCTAACTTTTAAGAAATATATTTTAAGATTATCTGCTACTTCCTATTTTTGTTTCTAATAGAAATAAATACTTTTTCATATTTTTATTTTTAAATACCAAAAATCTCAAGCATCTACTATATATTCATATGTGACAGAGATGCACAATGCATCAAGTTTCATGGGACATTAGAAAAATAATGTCTCCTTTGCACTGAACTTGACTTCTAATGATTTTATAGATATGCCTCTGTAGCCTTATATTTTACCATCCATTCTTCAACATTTGTTATTTATGTATTACATTTATATACTGCCTTTCCTCTAGACATAGGTCTAAGATCTGAATGCACAATAGGTCTTCTTGGTCTTAGTCCAACAATGCAATCACTACATTATACTGACCTCAATAATTAACAGAATGTCATAGCTGTATACAATTCAGTAAAATATTAAACACTGTATTGGTCTCTCCTAAATATGAATTAACTGAATGACATCACCAAGTAGGGAAGTATTCCTCTACAATATATACTTTCTTTCATTCTAGATGTTCTATACAAAATATTTTTCCTCTACTTGTAAAATAGTGATATGAGCAATTAATTCAGATTTCTTGATTTTCAGAACTACTGAGGAATTCTGAATTCAGAAAAATCAATTTGCAGGAGTCATGCAAATTGATTTCAATGCAACTGCCTATTCATAAACAAAAGTTGCATCCTTTCTCATTCATGTTTAAATGAAAGACACAAGGATCAAACTAAAACTCAGGTCCTCTAATCTACATTAAAATATGATGCCTTGAAAAGTTGCTTAATTTCACTTCAAAGTATAGAATCCTCACAAAAGAAAAAAATAAGGCAAACTTTCAGAAAAGTATGCATGGTCCTTTACATAGGCAATCAACCCTTTTAAAAAAATAAATAAATAAATCTTGGCAAATCCAGCCTTTGTTTTCGGCTCTTCTGAAATGTCCTCTGCTGTGGGTTTTGCTAAAACTGAAAATAAAGTGCATTTCACTTCTCATTTATCCTGCGCTGTGTTAAAAAGCTTTTTCAGAAATGCCAGACCAAAGCCCCAAACCAGGAACTTACTTTTTCCATTGATTCATTTTGTTGCTTGAAGATCTCTCTCACATCAGGAACTTGGTACTGTTTGTTTTTCTTCCTCATTGTCTGGGTGATGGTATCGACTCGCTTCTGCACTGCTATAGCCTGAGTTCTGGTCAAGGTAGCCAAAACCACCATACTTTCATGGGAATCTCCAGCAGCTTCACCAAAGAGCGTTGACAGACCTGCTTCTTTTAACCACTCTTCTTCCAATTCACCCTCTACTCAAATAAAGGGAAGAAGGACATACATGTATGATTCAATTTATATTGCATTTAACCCTATACTTTTTAACATAAAAATGAAAATAGTTTCCATACAGTACAGTAGAAATCTTTTCATGTACTAAAAAAAGAAAAGAGGCCACAACTGGTGATTCAGCTCAAACGTGGCTAAAAAATTTCAAACCTATCATGTTGAGGCTAAAACACTTGACCTAATCTGAACCATGTTTCATTACTTCTGCACAAAAATTAGATGAAACCTACTGACTTACACGGGAAAGTTTTTTTAAAGTATGTATTGCTGGGGATTACAATGAAGCTGTAAAAAAAGATTATTCAACTATCAAGATATTTGGTTTCTGTTTTGTGTTATTCTTCATTGCTATCCCACAAATCTTTTCTCTTCCCCACAATAATTGTGGCAAGCATAGATGGAAGTTACATAATTGAGAAGTCATGAATCTCAAGGTTATTTGCATGCTTTGTTTTTCCCTGTTTATTCCATTAATTGTGGGGTCAGATTAGATGTTACTGAATAGAATAGAGCTAGAAGGGACCTTGGAGGTCTTCTAGTCCAGCCTCCTGCTCAAGCAGGAGAACTTATACTATCTCAGACAAGTGACTGTCTAGCCTCTTCTTAAAAATCTCCAGTGATGGAGCGCCCATGATTTCTGAAGGCAAGCTGTTCCACTGGTTAATTGTCCTCACTGTTGGGAAGTTTCTCCTTAATTCCAGGTTGCTTCTCTCTTTGATCAGTTTCCAACCATTGATTTTTGTCCTGCCCTCTGGTGCTTTGGAGAATAATGTGGCCCCCTCTTCTTTGTGACAGCCCCTCAAATACTGGAATACTGCTCTCATGTCTCCCCTGTTTCTTGTTTTCTTTAGACTAGCCAAACCCAAGTCCTGTAGCCGTTCTTCATATGTTTTGGTCTCCAGGCCTTTGATCGTGTTAGTTATTCTTCTCTGAATTTTTTCCAAACTCTCAACATCTTTTTTGTAATATGGTGACCATATTGCAGTATTTCAGGTGTGGTCTTACTAGGGTTTTATAAAGTG